AGAACCCATAGGTCTGCACAGGGATCCTCTGGGACTATCTGGCCTGTGTCGCCTCCTTTGCCATCATTCCTCTTGTCCCTCAGACTGAGGCACTGAATGGTACAGAGCAGCTCTGCTGTCTTTCACAGAAACTTACTCCCCAGCTGATGCTCTTCATTTCCTCTCCTGTGCATGTTCTCAGAATGTCTAGAAAAATTTGACAGCTGGTGTTCCATTTAGGGACAACACTTCGGTATGTGTCTTGAAAGGGCTCACACACAGATTTTGCTGCATCTCTACTCCATTTCCAAATATAATATGATTTCATGGGTGATGGAATGGAAAACGAGAAAAGACGCTGAAGCTGCACTCTCTAAGGAGAATTTGTAATGCCTACGCCCGAGCAAATGGTCCCGACAATGAAGAGGTCAGGGCAGGACTTTAACATGTAGATCTGGGTTCAAATCCTGACTTCCTATTTGACTTTGGACCAATTACTCCACTTTTCTGAGCCTAAGTTTCCTCATCTGAACCACAGCAGCCACAGAACTTATCACTCAGACTGTGCTGACAGGTCAATGGAAGGTATTAACAAATGACCAGCTCTTGGTCAGCATGCTGACCAGTTTTCTTCCACCCCTTTCTTCCTGGACTGCATCAATAGGGATGAAGCAGTAAACACTGGAAGCAATTACTACCAAACTGAGCATATAGTTTAATTTGTCATGAGAATCCTTAATAAGGATCAGGGACAGGCAAATAGATAACTCAACTGTAAGCCCACTCAATTGCACATATGACTGGAACCAAATAATAAAATATGAATCTGTCTCTCAGTGTCACAGAGCTTATGTTCTCCAAAAACAAAATGTCTGGTGACCACAAGTGGTTGAACTAATGCAAAACACCTCAAAACTCCTCTTATGTAGCATGGTCACTGAATGGGCATCGTGGGTAGTCACATAATCTTCTATTTAACCCATTTTGGTGTATATGGACCCATTTATTTTTCAAAATAATTATAACACAAATGTTGCCAACTAACACCTAACTACATCAAGCGTAGGTTATCTTAATAAAAGAATTCAAAAAAGATCTGAGGGCTTGGGATTGCCTGAAATGCCTACTTTAGCCAAAATATCCTATTGGCTAAAAAGCCAAAATGAGAACTAAGAGGACAAAAAACCCCAAACCTCTCCCACCAATGACTCCACACCCCAGGGCTTCTGGCCTATTTCTCTGTTTTTCATTCTTCCATTCATGTGGGAGGAAAAATCAACATTTCCTGACTTCATGGACAGAATCTGAACACCTTTGCAGAAGTATAATCACTGACATAAAATGATACTGATGGCATTTGGAAATCCCCTATGAATCTCTACTGACTCCGTGGCACACAGGTTGCCCAAGGACACATTTTCAAACCTTTTCCACACTCTAGAACAGGGGTGAGCAAACTTTTTGACTCGAGAGCCACAATGGGTTCTTAAACTGGACCGGAGGGCCGGAACAAAAGCATGGATGGAGTGTTTGTGTGAACTAATATAAATTCAAAGTAAACATCATTACATAAAAGGGTACGGTCGCCGAAACCGGTTTGGCTCAGTGGATAGAGCGTCGGCCTGCGGACTCAAGGGTCCCGGGTTCGATTCCGGTCAAGGGCATGTACCTGGGTTGCGGGCACATCCCCAGTGGGAGATGTGCAGGAGGCAGCTGATCGATGTTTCTTTCTCATCGATCTTTCTAACTCTCTATCTCTCTCCTCTCTGTAAAAAATCAATAAAATATATTTAAAAAAAAAATAAAATCATTAAAAAAAACAAAAACAAAAACAAAAACAAAAACAAACAAACAAACAAAAAGGGTACGGTCTTTTTTTTTTTTTAGTTTTATTCATTTCAAATGGGCCGGATCCGGCCCGTGGGCCGTAGTTTGCCCACGGCTGCTTTAGAATCTCAATCATGACTCGAGCTTTGCTGACCTCACAGCCGTGGAATGGGGGCTTTATTTAAATGCCAACTTGGCCACAAAACATCTGTTTCATGGACCATCTCCTCCTTCCTTGCTCACAGACAAATGTACCCTTTCACCTTTTTAAGGAAAAGACCTCCTACACGTTCAGGTTTTTGTTCACCATTGATTCCTTCCTCTGATATCAAATAGGGCAGGATTTCCAATGCCTGTGGATCCCCAGCTCTGTAGGTGAGCATGTACTTGCCAAAGCAAAGCTCCAATAAGAGCAGGAGGAAAGGGCTTCCTGGGTGGGAAGCAACAAGAGACAGGAGGCCTGACTGGGGCTCTGGAGTCTGGGGGTGGGGGTGGGGGTTCTGCTTCCTTCCCTCTCATTGGTCAATGTGGGTGATGAAGATTAGATCTAAGGAGAAACGCATGCCATAACTTGAAAGAAGAACCACCTGGTGCCTTCAGATTTCGATGCTGGATTTACTTAGAGTTGGCATGTTGGAAGCTGTTGGGTGAGGGATCAGAAATGTTGGCAAGGGTTTGTCTGCAATGGCCGAACAGGGCATGCTGCCTGGGCTAGGGCAAGAAAGGACAGCAAGGAGTTGATAGCTTGGGGAAAAGGAGGGCCTAAGGGCTGGGAGGAGGGTGAGGAGATTTAGAAGGCATGAGCCATGCCACTGTGCCATCAGATTGCTGTGGGGAGCAGGGAGAGGTTAAAAATGCCAACTTGTCCCTGTTGTGGAAAGCAGTAGTGCAAGAAAGAGGGGAAGGAGGAGGTCAAGTTCAACCACAGGGTCTTAAATGGACTTGTTCAGTCCTGGGGCACCAGGGGTGAACTCAGTCCCTGTGCATCATCTCTTCCTAGACAACTTTGCCCACAGTACAATCATATCTGAGACTGAGAAAATCTAAACCTAAACACAAACCAACGAGCTTGCTTTTGGGGCCAAATAGTGCCGATTATGTATATATGTATATATGTACATACATACATGTATGTGTGTGTGTGTGTGTGTGTATGTATGAAAAAAAGAAAAACCAACTCTCTGAAATGAAAATATACAAAAGGGATTATATAATCAAGGTCACAGAGATCACTCCAAAAGCACTGTACTAATTACAAAATAATGTTTCTTGTATTAAACAAGATCATGCATTTTAGAGCATTTAGTACAGTGCCTGGCCCTTATCATTTACCAACTCCCAAATGATAGCTGTTGCCAATGTTATATGTATGAATCATTAAAGCAGACCCAGTAAGACTTCTATTTGGAAATCTTTTTGTCAGTCATTTATTTCACTAATGTATGAGCTTTTGAGTAATAAAAAGACATGGCTTAAAGTTCAGATTACTTCCCAGTGCAGTCTGACCTTTCTCAAAGTACTAAGACTTGTGACATTTCCCTGAACAAAACAGTGATCCACAAACAGAGGCTCCTGTAGAAAATGAGATGCCCAGAAACACTCTTTCCTCCTTTGTCAAGAGCGGTTGCTAATGTGGGAGGCTGAAGCCCCAAATGCTTCCACTACTTGAGCACATAGTCTGTCAGCTAGGAAAGAGACAAAACAGGAGTCCAGGCCTGCTTTTCCCCAGTTATAGTCCAATCCCTGCCCTCGAAGCTCTATTCACCCTCCCAGTCCCCTTGCCTGTCTGACTAGAAATGGGTTGGCTGTGAACATGTTGCCCTGTGTGGTCTGTGTGGCTCCAACTCCAAATATGGCCATAGATGCTACGGCCCAGGTCACAAAGAGGGAGACCAGGGCAGCTCTGGACCACAGCTGGGTTCTGTTGGCTGTCCACAGCACTTCTGAACATGTTAAATTTGAATGTCTTTCCAAGGAGGCATTGCTCTCAAGTTAACCCCAGTCCCTACCATGCCCCATTTCCCTGGTTTGAGTTAATTTGTCACCTTGGAGTACAAGCCATCTCCTGTTTCCTCTTGTCATGGCCTCTAATGCTGACCTAGCAGTGCAGTCCAGGCAGGGCTGGGGGCAGAGAGGGCGGGTCTGAATGAATCGCTGTGGCCACTTGGACCAGCTCAGCCCCAAGCGGCCTCCCTGCCATGGTCCGGCCAGTGCTGATGTGTCAGCTCCAAGACAAGGGAACCAAATGCCATTCTCGTGTCTATGTGACCTTCTTATATATATTGTCTTGTATATATTGACAATTGTATAGCTTACCATCTGTAGATATTAACTTCTGACTATGTTCAGGAAAAAAAGAATAAGGAAAAAAACAGTTTGATCTCTGTAAGAAACCTCAGCGTCGAGTAAGTTAAGTCTGCTTTTCTGCTTTAATGGAATTTTAAAAATTCTACATTTCAGAGCTGTTAAAGCAGTTCTGATTTTCAGCGTTGGCAAGAGGGATCAGATCATTAAGCTTCCCTGGAACTCTCTTCTGATTGGGGGATAAGGTAGGCTGTTTTTGTTTTCTTTCATGAGCCCAAGAAAAATGGCCTGTCAGGGGTCTCTTTCCTGGCCCCAGGGGAACCTATTCTTCTGTAACTACTTCACTAAGTTCACAGGAGTCCTTTCATGAATAGGGCTCTTTTTGGCCAGTGCATTCGGGGAGCACAGCATAGAGGCATTCCATTTCTAAAGATCCTGAGAAGGAGGCGTAATTATCTTGATGTTCATAGATGAGGAAACACACTCAGAGAAGGCACACTCCTTGCCCAAGTCACACAATTAGCCACGGAAATTGATCTAGATTTACTGACAGCCTAAACAGGCCCTTTCCACCACCCCGTGCAGCCCCACTAAGTCAAGGCAAACACCACAAAGCCACATATCTGGTCACAGACCACAGAGAGTCACTGGAGGAAGGACAGGGCCAAGGGAGGTTTTGCAAAAATGCAGAGTTTGGGGAAAACATTGAAGAAAAAAAAAGAAACCAGTTGCATCTTTACCAAAAGGATCTTTTAACCTCAGTCCTGGATTCATTGCTTTGGCACAAGGCCATTCCAGCCCAGAAGACACTCAACACGTTTTTCATACAGAGGATGTGAAGGCGTTGGCCCATCCCAGACCAGGGAGAAAGCAGAAACAGGGGTACCTACCGCCTTCAAACTCTGTCTGGCAGTTCCCCGAGGTATCGTTCAGGCTCTCCTCCTCGTTGATGATGATGTTCTCAATGTCCTTCATTGTCAAGTGGTCCCGGAAGGCATGATAGAGGATGTGCTTCAGCTCTTCCAGAGTTATCCTTTGCATGTCAAACTGTGAAGATAAAGAGGAGTAAGAGGCGCCTGAGCACATGGGGGTGAGAACTCTGCTTGGGGCATGACCCTTAACCCCTCTTATAGAAACTTGTCCCAGCTTTTCGGAACATCGGATGAGCAGTTCTCCGTCACGTTCAGCTCCAAGCATACTTGTGAACTTATTGGGAAGACCGTGTGTGCACAACATATCCCCCTCCACTGAGGCTCTTGGAGAAAAAAATGCCACCTGCTAGTTGAGTTTCCTACTCATCCAGCCATCTGCTGTCACCCCTGTATACTTGGGGGTTGTGTCCTACTTCAGACAATGCATATGTCTCTAAAAATTTTATGATCTCCTCAGAAGCCAGCAATTCCCAGCTTGCTATAAGCACGTATCTCGTTCTAACAAGATAAAATGCAAGTTCAAAGCCGTGTTTATGAGGAAGAGCAGCTGAAGGGAGGTGCAGCATTTCTGGTGATGCTCTGCCCCTCCTGGTGACAGCATTATGCTTTCCCACTGCATCTCCATCAGGCTCAGTTCTGTCACTTTCTTAGCCAGTGAAATGTGAGTAGAAGTCACACATGCCACCGTCCATTGAGGGCTTTAAGAGCCCTTGTGTGATTATATCATTTGTTCTTTTCCTTCTGCCATGAGAACAGCATGCCCTAGGTAGGGCCTGTACCTCTGACTGAGTCCTAGAATGAGGATACAGTGGAAAATCCCTGCAGATATCCCCTAAAAGAAAAAAATAATGTAAGAAATGCCCTTTTCTGCCTAACTGGTGTGGCTCAGTAGTTGAGTGTTGACCTATGAACCAGGTGGTCATGGTTCAATTCCCAGTCAGGACACATGCCCGGGTTGTGGCTTGATCCCCAGTGGGATCAGCAGATTGATGCTTCTTTCTCATCATTGTTGTTTTTTTCTCTCCCTTCCTCTCTGAAATCAATAAAAATATTAAAAAAAAAAGAAATGCCCTTTTTGTTATTAGCCATAGAGACTTTGGCTTCTTTACTACCATAGCATAACGTGCTTTAAGTAAACAATACAGAAATTATTATGTAGAAATGACAGACTACCATTACAAAAATTCTAAAGTATGATGTATGGCCTCCAGGGCCAGGCAGTGGGAAATGAGAAAACTATTATTGGAGGCTCGAAAGAAAATCACCTTTCTTATGCAGTAGCAAAACACTTGGTAACATCATTGCCTGTGGTAACTTGTAGGACAGATCCCTATTGAATGGTTTTGTGGCTTTGGGGAAAAAGTGTGGGAAACAGCACTCTGGTTGCAAATGGTTGCATCTGACAGGGTGCTACAAGAAAGAGATGAGCTCAGAAAAGAATTGATTGGTTTGCAAGCCAGGACGAGACACAACTCAGAAATTCCTGGACTTGCAGGAAAGATAATAGTTATTTCTCACCTCCAACTGGGAAGAGAGAAAATGGAGAAATGCTTTAAATAACAACACAGGCCTATTAAAACAAATCCAAGGGTCGCTTGTCAAAACCTCTGAATGTGTGAGGTGATTCTCCCAGGAAGCTGGCTGTTAAGTTTAGAGAGAAGCGTGTCTCAAAGATAATTGTGGACGTGGCTGTAAGTATAAACCAATTGGAATCAAATAGATAAAAAGGTGATTAAGTTTTGGAGAGAGTTGTACTGGCCAAGAGCCAACGGCCTAGAATTAAAAGACTCTATAACCCTAATATCTGTGGGCCCCCAACCTTCCATGGGCATACGCACTATGAGGAGAAGCTATTAGACCCCAGGGAGGACACAACTTCCAATGCCCTCATTAGATGAGTTTAGGGAGTGGAAAGGGCTGGATCCCCCACATGGTGAAGCTGGGCATTATGCTTGAAATCATGAGTAAATTTCAGGATGCCGAATGAGGGTTTAATAAACTGGCGAATATAATAGAATCAGGGAGTGGACTGACAATTCTTGGGGGGAGACTGGACAAAAATCGTACACCTATGGATGAGGACAGTGGGGGAGGGGGGTAAGGGCAGAGGGTGGGGTGGGAACCCGGTGGAGGGGAGCTATGGGGGAAAAAAAGAGGAACAACTGTAATAATCTGAACAATAAAGATTTAATTTAAAAAAAAGAATATTCCTCGTCCCAAGGTCTGTCCAACAGGATTTCAGAATTGCTGAGTCTGAGACTGCTACATAGCTCCCATATTTATTTTATTTTATTTTTTAGTTCACATGTCTCTAAGAGAAGCCACACCCACATTTGCTGTATCTCCTGGGACTCTAGATCTCAAGTCTGATGTTATAATTGGATGGGACTTTTAGGGTGTCTCCCTTGGGGAGGGGATGAGTATATTTTGTAGCTGAAGGGAAGGAAATAAATACTTATAAGAAAGAGTATGGTCTGAAACAGGTTATATTATTTCCAATTATTATGTAGAAATGACAGAATTATATCGCCTTGCCCACTGACATTAGGAAATGAGAAAACTGTTATTGGAGAGTGAACGTGATGACAATCTCAGAAGCCATGTGTATTCTGCCATTTTTTTTTCCTGCCACAAAAACATATACACCAAATATGGGCTGTTCCTTCCTCCTGGAATGAATACAACATAGAGCTAACCCATGAGGGGCGTGTAATTTTGAGTGAGAAATAAACCCTTGTTTTTATTTTATTTATTTACTTATTTAAAATAATATTTTTATTGATGTCAGAGAGGAAGAGAGGGATCGAAACATCAGTGATGAGAGAGAATCATTGATTGGCTGCCTCCTGCATGCCCCCCACTAGAGATTAAACCTGCAACCCAGGCATGTGCCCTGACCAGGAATTGAACCATGACCTCCTGGTTCACAGGTTGACACTCAACCACTGAGCCACACTGGCTAGGCAATAAACCCTTCCTGTTTTAGCCTCTAAGACTTTGGGATTTCTGCAGTATAACTTAGACCAGTGGTTGGCAAACTGTGGCTCGCGAGCCACATGCGGCTCTTTGGCTCCTTGAGTGTGGCTCTTCCACAAAATACCATGTACCGGCGCACACGTACAGTGCGATTGAAACTTCGTGGCCCATGCGCAGAAGTTGGTATTTTGTGGAAGAGCCACACTCAAAGGGCCAAAGAGCCGCATGTGGCTTGCGAGCCACAGTTTGCCGACCACTGACTTAGACAATAATGAATACAGAAATCAATGTTTTAAGTTAGTCTAAATCCTGATAAAAGTAAGTTTTAGACATTTTCTTTCCCTGCTTTATTTGTAAAACAATTCCTATCTTGCTTTAAGTATGCCTGTTGTTCTAACACATTAACTTAGGTTTCTGAAACTTTCTAGACATCTACATGATTTAAGTTCAAAACTATTTCTATGACTAAGAGCAACTGAAGGGGAGTGTACAAAGCGGATTTGTTTCTGCATCTCAGGTTATTGACTATAAAAGTAAATTTTGAGATACACTGAGAATTGAGCCTTAGACTTGACAGGGGAACAAGCATGTGGTTGTTAGCCTGGGTGCAGGGAGAAGGCTGGCAGAGTGCATGGTGAGGGTGGGGGACCTCATAGAGGAGAAATTGGTACCCTCCTGCCACAGTCAGAGATGACGAATGACAAAATCAGAGACTCAGAACATGGGTAACCATTTCCTAGAAGACCAACCAAAGGGCTGGGGTGCTGGGGCGAACTAAGCAGCAGAGAGTTTGCTGAAATGCAGAAGGAAAGTGAAAAGAATTGGTCAGGGGCTGTGAGAAGAGGAGAGGTGGCAGGAGGAGGGAGTGGGGAAGGACATGTGAGGAGAGGGAACAGCATACCAAGGGGTAAGGTGTGAAAACTCCAGGTCACTGAATGGCCACCTGCTGACTTCTTCTGAAGACCGAGAGCTGTAGGAGAAGGTGTTAGGGGTGTGCTGAGAGCTGTGCATGGGGTGCTATCCACAAAGACCTATATGCCATGGTGAGGAGCTTGGTTGTTTTTTGTTTGTATTTATTTTTACTGTGGTAAATATGCATAACATAAAATTTACCATTTATCCATATTTAAGTGTATAGTTCTGTGGCATTGGGTACATCCACAGGGCTGTGCAACCATTACCACCATCCATCTCCAGAACTTTTAGCATTTCCCTCAAGTGATACTCCGTGCCCATCAAATACTTCTTCCCCATTCCTCCCTCTCCCAAAGCCAGGCAACCACCATTCTACATTCTATAGCAGTGGTTCTCAACCTTCTGGCCCTTTAAATACAGTTCCTCATGTTGTGACCCAACCATAAAATTATTTTCGTTGCTACTTCATAACTGTAATGTTACTACTGTTATGAATCGTAATGTAAATATCTGATATACAGGATGGTCTTAGGCGACCCCTGTGAAAGGGTCGTTTGATGGCCAAAGGGGTCTCGACCCACAGGTTGAGAACCACTGTTCTATCGAAAGTCAAACACGAAATCTGACTGCTCTAGGTACCAGAAGTAGAATCATACAGTATTTGGCCTTTTGTGCCTGGCTAACTCACTTAGCAGAATGTCTTCAAGTTCATCCATGGTGCAGCATGTGTCGCATGCTGCAGAATTTTATTCCTTTTTAAGGCCGAGCACTATTCCGTTGTATGTCTGTGCTACATTATTAATCTATTTACCCATCCATGGACACCTGGGTTGCTTCCACCTTGAGGCTGTTGTGAATAGTGCTGCTATGAATGCAGGTGGAAAAATGCCTGCTCATGCCCCTGCTTTTAGTTTTTTTGGGTTTTCTTGGTATATAACCAGAATTGGAATTGCTGAGTCATATGGTAATTCTATGTTTAGTTTTTGAGGAATAAAGCTTGGTTTTATCTTTTGAATAAAATGAGGTACCACTAATGGATTTTCATCAGGGAAATGACCTCATCAGGTCTGAGCTTGAGAAAAGTTACCCTTTACAGGTATCAGGGGCAGGCCAACCAGGCTATAGAAATAACAGGTTTAGAAACCACAATGGGCTACGGGACAGAGAGAATTCCCTGTAGGAGAGAAGTTGGCAAGACTTGATGAGTCATCGTGGGTGGAAGGT